ATGCGGGATACGGTCGTAACGCACGTTCACATAGTGGATCGCGGGGGTGTTGTCGACCCGAAAAAGGACCCTCCACCCGCGGAGAAAAATGTGTTCTCGGCGGATGCACTCTACAACTACCCATAATTCTTTGTAGTTGATTGCGTCCGCTTCTGGAAAGCCCTGCGCGGCCGCGAAATCTGACGGCCAGACTCCCGAGACGACCCTACCGCTGCTGCAGAGGTGGTAGCTCCACCCATGCTCGGTGCTGGCGTCCGTCTCGATTACAAGGATTTCGCCGCGCGCGGCGAGCTCCTGCCAGCGTTGGAACTCAGGCGATTTGTGCCCCCGCAGCGAGAGATCGCCGCCGAGGCAAAATAAGGCCCGGGCCGGGGGCACGGCGAAGATTCGCTGCAAATGCACGATGGCGTCCCTGCTCTGCTCCGACAGACAGACAAGGGGGTCCGCGCGCGAGGAAGACTGCCACGCGGCGTACACATTCGCCGAATTGAAATCTGTCCAAATCGGATGCATCCGCCGCCGTGCCTGCGGCAGCAGCTCCGCGAGGTGGGAAGCGAGCCCGGCTAGTTCCGCGAGGGCTTTGCTGCGCAAGGTGCGGCTGTTGTCAGATTCCAATACATCGGCGCACACCCGGCCCAGCTTGTGGCACTTCGCCACGGGCGTCGTTACGACGCATTCAACCGTGTCGAAAATCCACCCGATCCTCTGCTGGCGAGTGGCGGGGGGCCGCACGCCCGAGGGCTTCGAGCTGACAGGGATCCCACAGGAGAGAAGAAAGTCGACGGCAGCGCAAAGCTGGCGCCACGCGTCGCTTTCTGTCCCCGCATGTCCAAGGAAATCGTCAACAAAATCGAGCAAGTCGACCCCTGTTCGGTCGAGCAGGACTCTCAAAATCTCCTTGACGTTTTCGTCGTTCGTGCCCGGGGCACTTGAAAGGCCGAACGGTAAAAAACGGTAGCTGCCGTACTGGCGGGTCGATGGCATGTAGAAGCCAAGCAGCAGGGAATCCTGTGCATCAACGCGCCAATTAAAGAAGCAGTCCTGCAGGTCGAGGACGAACATCCAGGAACCCACGCGCAGCCGGCTCACTGCTTGTTCCAATGTTCCGTAACGAACAGGTGCGTCGGGGAGAAGCTCGTTGATCCTCCCCCGCCGGAGGTCGACGATGAGGCGGGCCTTCCACCTGTCGTCCTCCGGGGCATCTGGCCCGCAATCGGGTCGTGGTTTGAGCAGCATGGCACAGGGATTGATGTTGAGGCTCGGTGGTCTGGGAACTCCTGGTGGTAGTAGGGCAACCTTTCCGGCGGCATGTAGCCGACTGAATTCACGCTCCACCCACTCCTCGTGAAGGAAGCAGGACGGATGGTTTCGAACTTGTCTGGGTTGGGCGCCCTCTGCTCCGAGTTTCCGGCCGTGCCTCCAGAGCTGCAGGAAGCGCTGCGCCACGCCAGCCCCGGCCAGGAAATCGAATCGCAGAGTGAGTCCGGGGACCCCTTCCCACCAAGATAACATAGCATTTCCATTGCGAATCTTTTCGCGGAGAGCCTCCATGGCTTGAGCGAGCCAAGACGGCTGCGGGAAGGGGGGGGCGAGCGACTGCTTTGGTATGCTGGTCACGCTAAAGCGCAATGGCGCAAAAACAATATATGTTCTGGCCCGGGGGGAGGGAGGGAGGAAAATGAAGGGGGAGGGGAGGGGATGGGCAGCCGCAGAAAGGGGGGGGGGAGGGGGGGGAAACGGAAGGAGGAAATTCGCCTCTGGGGCGATGGCCTGGCGGCTGAGGGGATGCGCGTTAGCACCAACTCAGATGAGAGTCCAGGGGACATATGCCCCGATCGACGCTCAAGTGCAATAACAATATGTGGGATGGGACGGAGGGGAGGAAGGAGGACAAGGAGGGGGAATAGGAGGGGGTGGGCAGCCACAGAGGGGGGGGGAAGGGGGAGGGAGAGGAAACGGAAGGAGGGGGAATTCGCCTCTGGGACGGTGGCCTGGCGGCCGAGGGGATGCGCGCCAGCACCAACTCAAATGAAAGTCCAGGGGACATATGCCCCGATTGATGGCCTGGCGGCCGAAGGGATGCGCGCCAGCACCAAGGTCAACGAACACCCCAGGGAGAAGCGTCCTGAGTACGTGAATTATCCGAGGATGGCCAAAATAACGTGGCCAAAATTTGACGCCGTCGGCGGCGCGGGGTCGGCGACCGCCCCGACCATGGAAGGCAGCCATGGCGCCTGCACCACACGTAGGAATACAACCCAGAATCCGCACCCATCCCCAGAAGCCACTTTCCTGGAAAGCACAGCCCCCCCGGAAAGATTACGGGGCCCAACACAGTCTGCACCCGCGGCGGATTCAAATGGGACCTCGCCATCCCTGGGGGGTTGCGGTCTGTGAAACTGTCGCCACTTTCGAAGGTTGCTGGGGGGCCCAGCACAGTGGGTACCCACGGCGGATTCAAATGGGACCTCGCCATCCCTGGGGGCTGCGATTTGTGAAACTGTCGCCACTTTCGAGGGCTGCTGGGGGGCCCAGCACGGTGGCCACCCACGGCGGATTCAAATGGGACCTCGCCATCCCTGGGGGGCTGCGATCTGTGAAACTGTCGCCGCTTTCGAGGGCTGCTGGGGGGCCCAGCACAATGGGTACCCACGGCGGATTCAAATGGGACCTCGCCATCCCTGGGGGGCTGCGATCTGTGAAACTGTCGCCACTTTCGAGGCCTGCTGGGGGGCCCAGCACAGTGGGCACCCACGGCGGATTCAAGTTAGACCTCGCCATCCCTGGGGGCTGCGATCTGTGAACCGTCGCCACTTTCTAACCTCGCTCGTCGCTGCGTTTCGAAGGCTGCTGGGGGCTGCGATGTGTGAAACTGTTACCACGTTCGAGGGCTGCTGAGGGGCCCAGCACAGTGGGTACTCACCGCAAACTCAAATGGGACCTCGCCATCCCTGGGGGGCTGCGATCTGTGAAACTGTCGCCACTTTCGAGGGCTGCTGGGGGGCCCAGCACAGTGGGTATCCACGGCGGATTCAAATGGGACCTCGCCATCCCTGGGGGGCTGCGATCTGTGAAACGGTCGCCACTTTCGAGGGCTGCTGGGGGGCCCAGCACAGTGGGTACCCACCGCAGACTCAAATGGGGCCTCGCCATCCCTGGGGGGCTGCGATCTGTGAAACTGCCGCCCCTTTTGAGGGCTGCTGAGGGGCCCAGCACAGTGGGTACTCTCCGAAGACTCATATCAGACCTCGCCATCCTTGGGGGCTGCGATCTGTGAAACTGTCGCCACTTTCGAGGGCTGCTGAGGGGCCCAGCGCAATGGGTACTCACCGCAGACTCAGATTAGACCTCGCCATCCCTGGGGGGCTGCGATCTGTGAAACTGTCGCCACTTTCGAGGGCTGCTGAGGGGCACAGCACAGTGGGTTTCCCGCACGTCTTTCTCATGCTCTTCGTTCCCGACTCCCCATGTTCTCTTCGAGCCTGTAGTTGTCGCCCCTCGTTCTTGTATGGTTCTCCTGCGCATCATGCCATTGGCGCGTGTCCCAAATAGTTTACATCTCAAACAACGGATCCTGCAATTTGATTGTCCGTGCAATTTTCGGCCAACTCCTCGTTTCCCATGATACAAATGGGTTGGGTACGTCACAGGATATTTGTTTTGTCTCTTTCTCTCTCTCTCTCTCTCTAGGAGGAGGAGGAGGAGGAGGAGGAGGAGGAGGAGGAGGAGGAGGAGGAGGAGGAGGAGGAGAAGGAGGAGGAGGGAGGAGGAGGAGGAGGAGGAGGAGGGGAGGAGGGGAGGAGGAGGAGGAGGAGGAGAGGAGGAGGAGGAGGAGGAGGAGGAGGAGGAGGGAGGAGGCAGGAGGAGGAGGAGGAGGAGGAGGGGGAGGGGAGAGGAGGGAGGAAGAGGCGGAGGAGGAGAAGGAGAGGAGGAGGAGGATGGAGGAGAAGAGGAGGAGGAAGGAGGAGGAGGCGGAGGAGGAGGAGGGGGAGGAGGAGGGAGAGGAGGCGGAGGAGGAGGAGGAGGAGGAGGAGGAGGAGGACGGAGGAGGAGGAGGAGGAGGAGGGAGGAGGAGGAGGGAGGGGAGGAGGAGGAGGAGGAGGAGGAGGAGGAGGAGGAGGAGGGAGGAGGAGTAGGCGGAGGAGGAGGAAGAGGAGGAGGAGGAGGAGGAGGAGGAGGAGGGAAAGAGAGAGAGTCGGGGAGGAGGGGGGGAACCGTCCCTCCCCCCTTCACAATTACTCAATATGAAAATACTCCCCCTCTTCCCCTGATGGCGTCCGGGTGATGGCCGCGCACCCTCCGCGTACTGTTTTTTTGCACACAGGATCCCCCAGAAATCCCGGGAAACGACTCTCGCTGAGGCGCTGGCGTCATTTTTTCCCAAAGTGCTGCTCTCGTTGAGGCGCCGGCCTCATTTCTGCTTCCGAATCGTTCCGAATCGTGCTCCCGCTGCAGCGTGGGCCTCATTTTCGGATCGGTGTTTGGCCTCCGTCGTTCAGGATGGCGTTCTCGCCCCAGCGCGGGTCTTTTTCTCGCGTGCCCATCCGCCCGCCACCACCGCGCCGCACCGCCACCACCACCACCACCACCACAACAACACCACCAGCACCACCAGTACCAACACCACACCACCACCACCACACCAGCACCAGCACCAGCACCAGTACACCACCACCATCACCACCACCACCACCACCACCACCACCACCACCACCACCACCACTACCAGCACCAGCACCACCACCACCACCACACAACCACGCACACACGCACGCACGCACGCACGCGCACCACCACCCACTACGCACGCGCGCGCGGAGCCACAGGTCCGCTACGACACGCGTCCGCGGATAGAGAAAATCAGCGCCATGGTAAGGGATGGGAGGGAGGGGTAGGACGTCAGATATGACGCGAGCGCACCTAGCTTGCCTCTCCCCCTCCCTCTCCCCCCCCCGCCCCGCGCAAAAGGTGGCGGCGAAGAGCCCCCATGGGGATAGAGCGCTGGGAGGAGCACCAGGCAGAACATGACGTACGGGAGGATGTGGCCTCGTCCGCGAGGAGGAGGAGGCGAAGGAGGAGACAGGAGGAGGAGGACGAGCAGGAGGAGGGCATACGAGGAATCGGCTCGACTTCCTTCGCGGTCCACGGCGCCCCTGACTCGGGAGACACACGGCGCCTGCTGCAGTTTTTTTGACATGGACGAAGACGTGGACCCCAAACAGTAACTTCTTGCACTGTGGATGTGCAAATTGTGCAAGCTACATGGTGTAAGCTGTGTGGTGGAAACTATGTGGTGCAAGGTATGTGGTGCAACCGACGCTGTGCGTGGTGGAAGGTACGTGGTGTAACTGCCGAGGCAAAAATCAGCCGCTGCATCGCCACCACCGAAAAACAGCAGGCTTCCAGGCGCCTCCGCGGTCGTTCTCCGAAGAGCCAACAAAATCGTGCACCCTCGGGACACCACCACGGGCGGCAAAACGGCCGGCCACGGGCCAGAACGTGGCGCATCCTCGAACACTTCCGCAGGCCGCAACGGGTCGCAACGTGGCGCACCCTCGGGACACCACCACGGGCGGCAACGGCCGGCCACGGGCCAGAACGTGGCGCATCCTCGAACACTCCCGCAGGCCGCCACGGGTCGCAGCGTGGCGCATCCTCTGGACGTCCCCACGGGCGGCACCGGGCGGCAACGGGCCAGAACGTGTGCATACATGTGTGTGTGTGTGTGCATGCATGCCTGCCTGTCTGTGTGTGTGCGTGTGTGTGTGTATGAACGGACGAATGGCTGAATGAATACATGAATGACTGTATGTATGTACGTACATGTGTGTATGCGTGTATGTATGTATGGATGGATGGATGGATGGATGGATGGATGTATGGATGTATGGATGTATGGATGTATGGATGTATGGATGTATGTATGTATGTATGTATGTATGTATGTATGTATGTATGAGTGTGTATGTATGTATGTATGTGTGTGTATGTATGTATGTATGTATGTATGTATGTATGTACGTACGTACGTACGCATGCATGCATGCATGCATGTATGTATGCAGGTTTGCATGATTGTATGTTTGTATGTGTGTATGTGTGTATGTATGTATGCATGCATGCATGTATGTTTCTATGTATGTGTATATGTGTACGCTTGTTGTATGTATGCGTGTGTGTATATGGATGTGTATATGTATGTATGCCTGTGTATGTGTATGTATGTATGTGTGCATGCATGCATGTATGTATGTATGTATTTATGTATGTATGTATGTATGTATGTATGTATGTATGTATGTATGTATGTATGCATGTATGCATGTATGCATGCATGCATGCATGCATACATGTACGTACGTACGTACGTACGTGCGTATGGGTGTACGTATGTATGTATGTATGTATGCATGTATGTATATATGTATATATATGCATGTATATATGCATGCATGTATGCATGCATGTAGTTATGCATGTGTGTATGCATGTATGTACGTATGCATGTATGCGTGTTTGGATGTATGGATGTATGTAGGTCGGTAGGTCGGTCGGTAGGTAGGCAGGTCTGGGGTTATGTATGTATGTATGTATGCATGCATGCATGTATGGATGCATACATGCATGCATACGTGCATGCATGCATGTATGTATGTACGTAGGTATGTATACATGCATACTATACAGAGAGGGAAACAAACACACATAGAGAGAGAGAGAGGAAGAGGGCGACATATACACATACAGAGAGGCATAGTTATAAAGAGAGAGAGTGAGAGAGAGAGAGAGCAAACAAACCAACACAAGAGAGCCCCAACAAGACACCAACCGCTCCCAAAAGGCCCCCGAGAGAGCTCCAAAGTGACTCCAAGAGGCTCACCGGGGTCTCTAAATTCATCACTGTCGGCCTCTTTCGCTATATGAGTCGCTACTTCACTTCTTCCGACAACTCGCATGGGGTTCGGTCTCTGAATTGGCTTGTGGGGATAATTTTTGCTCGCGAACGCGCAGGAGAAAGCCAGGCGCCGTCAAGAAACGCAGCTAACGAGCAGCGGAGTAAATTCCGCACAAGCGCTTGTGGGGATACGCGAAGCGTCAATCATGAACCCCCCCCCCTCCCACACATCCCCTTTCTCCCCTGCCCTCCTCACCGATACTCATCCAGTGTCCCTCCCCCTCCCCTTCCTTCCCTGCTCCCTACTCGTCCTCCTACTCCCCCCTATCCCCCTCTCTCCCTGTCATCCTTCCCGTCCCCTTCCAGTCCGCCCTGCGCTCCCTCCCCTCCCCTCCCCCCCTCGCGGTACTATCGGCCACGTCACCGCCGCGCCTCGCGCTGGATGGGCCGAGGGTCAGCGAGCATCGCATGCTGCATGCTGTATTGGTGAGCTGCGCGCAGCGAAAATACGCACGCTGCCAAGCCCGCGACACGGTGTCTCTTAGAAAACAACTCGCGGAAACTTGTGGTCGTCCCCATGGCGCCCAATAGCGCGCACATCCGTGCTATTTGCCGCTATTGAACGCCATTGGGTGCTAATCGCCGATATACATTCAATCCAAAACGAACGGAAACTTCCGTGATTTACCATGTAATGTCTCCCCCCTGCGAGAGGCGAAGCGGTACCCTGGCGAAACGGTCGGGCGCAAGTGGCTCCCAGGCGAAGCGGCCGGTGGCGAGGCCGTTGCATGCCGAAGCGGACTGGTGCCTCACGGTCCACCTCCTCGTCGTCCTCCGCCTGCTCATCATCCTCGTCGCCCCTCGCCTCTTCTCCACCTGCGCCCATGTCGCCTCTGTCGCCTCCTCTTCGTCGTCGTCCTTGTCCTCTGTCCTCCTTCTCCTCCTTCTGCCCCCTCCTCCTCTTCCTCCTCCTCCTCCTCCTCCTCCCTCCCTCCTCCCTCCTCCGCCGCCTCCTCGGCCTCCGCCCTGTATGCGCCCCTCCTACATCATCCATGTCCTCCCTATCCTATATTACCTCCCTTTTCTCCCCATTGCCCCCCGTCTCCTTCCTTGTCTGCCCCCCCGCCTGGCCTCCCTCTCACATCAGGCTCCCTCTTCCCGTCTGCTCCCCCGAGAGGAGAAAGACGGGAGAGGAGGGAAGGGAAGGGAGGAGGGGGAGAGAGGGAGCGGGCGGAGAGGGACAGACGGGGTGGGTCGGGACGGGACAAGGGGGTCGAGGATAGGTGGCGACATCCGAACCCTATACCCCCACCAACCAGCGATTCTCTTGGATCGATGGGAAGCGTGGGTAGGCCTTTTGTTCCGCCACGCGTTCGACGAATTCCGAACCCTACCCCCACCGTCCACGCCTGAATCGCTGATCGGAGAGGCGGGGATTGATCCATATCCGCCGCCTGGGCACCGACGTCCTGGGGACCCAGCGGGCGGTGGATGTGGATATATGCTGGCCGCTGGGGACCAAAACATGCCCACATCCATCGCCGTCGGAGGTCAAAGAACATCGATCCTCCAGGCGGCGGCTATGTGCCCAGACATCCGGCCGCTCTAATTGTTTCGATGCGTGGGCCCTGGACTGGCCATCGCTCGGACGTCCCTGTCCTGTGTTTTTTTCGGTTTCGTGCGTGGCTGTTTCGCCAAATGATCAAGCATGCTCCTCGATGGTCCTCGCCGAAGGAAACATGCACACGTCCGAGCGATGCCAAGTGGAAGCCTGGACCACTTCCGCATTCCAGGTTGTCCGCCCCGAGTCTTCTTGTTGACGGGCCCGAGGCCCCGACGAGGGCCCCGGGAGGCCGAACCCGGCCCCGAACCCGCCGCCCCAGCTTTTCTGCAGCGTCGGCTCCCTGTGTAGAACTCACCCCCTCGAAGGATCGGCGAGGGTCGGGTGCGGATGTGTCCGCCGATGCGAGGCGGGGACTGATCCGTAACCACCGCCAGGGAACCGACGCCCTGGTGCCCCAGCGGGCGGTGGCTATGGACATACATTTCGGCCCCCAGGGGCCCGACTATGTCCATGGCCATCGCCTGCCGAGGCTCCGAAAACTGAGCCTCCAGGCGGTGAATAATATGGATACGGCAGGTTCGTGTCGTGCCGACCCCAGCGTTGGTTTTTGACACCGCAAGGATCGTTCAACCTTGAACGATCGGCCGCTGCCGCAACGTCCGATCGTTCAACATCGATCGATTCTGGGTCGCCGGCGGCGTTCAACCTTGAACGCCCGCGCTGGGGTCGCCGCTGGTCGACACGACGCAAACCTACAGTAAATTCCCGCCTCGGAGCCGAGGGAGGCAGCAGCAGCGGCGGAAGCGGCGGCGCGCGGGCGCGAGGGGCCGAGGGCGGAGAGGGTGGGCCAGGGCCGCCGGCCTCCCTCGGGCTGCGCGGTGCTCAGGTGCGCCATGGACTGGGGGGGCTCGCTGGCGCCCTGCAGCCGCGGGGGGCGAGGAGAGACGAGGAGGAGGAGGAGGAGGAGGAGGAGGAGGAGGAGGGAGGAGGAGGAGAGGAGGAGGGAGGAGGAGGACCCCTCGATCGGGGCCATCTTTTGCACAAGCTTGAACGGACGAATTCTCTCATGCCAATTTGTGGGCAGTGTGGGCGCTGCAAGAACCTCAGCCGGTTTTCATCGGTTTTCATGTTGAAAGTACTGTGGCTATGCGCTCCCAGATGGAACATCATGGTCGGGTCAGCAGCAGTCTTCGCCTGTCGGCTCCTACCAAGGTGGCAACGGTGCTAATTGGGGTGGCCAACGTAGCAGCAAATTGTGCCACGGCCCTCCTGGGCAGTGGTGGAGGCCGCCAACGCCGCCTCAAGTATCCGCTGATCAACTGCAGCCGTTCGTTCACTTGGATGAGAAGCAATTTGAGGCAGCCAGTTTGTTCATGGATCCCCAGCAGAAGCGCAAGCTGCTCAAGCTTCGCGCGGTCCAGTCTGGAGAGCCCACAGCATTTTCTCGCCATGTGTAGCAGCAGCGTGCCAGCGTGCGTACCAAGCTCAGTCAGACACAGGCCAAGCTCAGCAAAGCAGAGAAGCAGCCCAGCTCCGCCTTCGAAAGAGTTGCGCGGCTCAGAGTTGAAGCTAAACAACTTGAGTATAATTGAAGATGAGGAATGGGGATTGGCTCATCAGTCCGCTCTGCCAGCTTTGCATGTGACGTCGGCTGAGGAGGCTCGGCTGAAGAAGCAGTTCTTCGCAACTTCTCTAGAGGGCAGAAAATCCACCCCGATAATGACCACCCCGACACGCGAAGCCGTTTAGTAAACGCACCCAAAGAAAGAATCAAACAAGGCAGGGCGTTTAATAAACGCCCAAGGCCGTTTGGTACACGCCAATTGTCCGGCCTGGGTGTTTTTTCCTCCCATGATTCTCTGGACTAACGACAACTTCGCGAATCAGCTCCGTGAGCTGGTCGATGCTCGTGATCGTGCTCGGCACGGAGACCGTCCAGCGGCGCCTGCTCCTGGCGGCCCTCCTCGAGCGCACCCAGGGGGGGCAACATCCGATGATCTCAACCACGGCCTCGAGGTGCGCCTGGCCTCGCGATGGCTGCGGGGCGGGGCGACCTGATGGCGAACAACACTCCAGACGGGCTCCCGTTGGCCCTCCAGCTCTTGGCGCTCGCGTGCCCGATGCGGGGCCTGCCGCGGAGAGGCCCGTCACCATTCACGGACCTGGATCTGACATCGACTCACGCGACCCCACGGTTGTGGATGCCACGACAATGGACACCCTAACAGTCCCAGCATCGAATTAAGAATGTGTTTGACATGCAGGACAACTGTCCTGAGCATAGTTAAAAACATGTCTTTCATGTTTAAAGCATGTTCAACACATGTTCTAGACATCTGGACATGATTTGGCAACGTGCTTCCCCTTCGTCCTCCACGACTCCATGGATGAGGATCTCTGGGCGGAGTCTGACCAAGTGGTGCGGGATACGGCGCGCCTACTCGTCCAACAGCAGGCGTCAGAAGACCACCTCGTTCGTTTCTTGGAGCAGAATTTTCGTTTGATCCTGCCTTCGGAGCAACGTCGTGGGCTTATGCTTTCTGTGGCTGAGTCCATCAAGCGATCCCGTGATGCGTCATCGACTGGAATACTTGCGACAAGAAGTTCAAGCAGGACTCGCAGTCTGGGTAGCAGTTCCGCCTGCGCCAAGCAGGCAAAAGTCTGGCCCATACTCACTACAAATATCATTACTTGGTCAATTGTTGAGCGCGTGCAAGAATGTTTGTCTCGCTTTGATTGCATAGCTGTGCAGGGGGCTCATTTGACGCGCGCGCAGTGTGATTCGCAGGAAGGCAGCTTCGGAAATCTGGATATACAGCTTCGCTCCCCCAAGGGGCTCGCAAAAGTACTGGAGGCTTCCCTGGTTCCGAGGCATATCGGGCCCGCTGGAATCCACGGATTCGGTACCGTTCGTCGGCCTGGATGGGCCACAGCTCATCATGTTTGGGGGATGACCCGCGGTGGCTTCGTCCTCATCAATGCCGATCTTCAGCACTCGTCTGGGCTTGGAGCTCTCAACTGGGGAATCCTATCCAAAGTGGGCTCGTTCCTCACGCAAGTCGGGTTTCCCTTCGTATCGGCTGCAGATTGGCAAATCGAGCCAGACCAGCTCATCTCAAGCGGATGGCCAGCTGCTCTTGACTCAAGGGGTTCTTTTTATCCATTGCGTGGCACATTCAGGCCAACCAACAAAACTATCGACTATGTTGTTGTCAATGGTTCGCTCGCGCGCACTTGCAATGTGCATGCGCCCACCGGCATCGCCACGGCTCCGCACTACCCAGTCGAAGTCAAGATTAAGGAGCCGCCAGCAGATGCTACTGTTCAGGTTGTACAGGTGTCTCGATGCTTTCCCGTTACAGTGCCATGTGGCTGTTCCCTTCCGCCCTCTGCTGACAAGTGGTGCATGCTCAGCATGAATGTTGACACCGCTGCATCAGTGCGAGAGTTGGAAGCTATTGATTCGTGCTTGCGAAGATGAATGGCTGAACATATTCCAGGTCACCCCCTGAGGACTCGCATAAATATGTTGGAGAGAGCGCGCCCGCAGGGCCCGAGCAAAGGGGAGGGGGGGCTAGGCTTAAGCTCCCCCCCCCCTCCCGTGAGCCGCCCTTGTTGGAAGCACCCCCCCCCTCCCCCTTTTTTTGCAAGGGGGGGGGGGCTTACAGCTACCCCCCCCTCCCCCCTTGGGCCCTCCCCGGAAGCTACCCCCCCCTCCCCCCCTTCCAAAGGGGGGGGGGGTGCTTAAGCTACCCCCCCCTCCCTTGGCGCTGCCCTGCTGGAAGCTCCCCCCCCCTCCCCCCCTTTGTGCCAAAGGGGGGGGGGGGCTTGGAAGCCCCCCCCCCCTTCCCCCCTTTGGCCGCCCAGCCCCCGGAGCCTCCGCCCTCCCTTTCGCCGACGATCCAAAATGAACAATCCACGATCGAGGATGGACGATCGACGATCAACGATCGACGATCGAAAATCCCAATCGAATCGCTTGCAATCGATTGCACTCCATTCCACTGCAATCCCCCTCCCCATCTCCCGCCGCTCCCTCCCCTCCCTCCCCACCCTTCGTTCCATCTCCTCCCTCCCCTCCCTCTTCTCCCCTCCCTCCCTTCCGTCCTGTCCCTCCCCTGCAATCCAATCGATTGAATCGATTGCAATTCAACCGATTGCAATCCAATCGATTGCAATCCAATGGATTGCAATCGAATCGTTTGCAATCCAATGGATTGCAATCGATTGCAACGCAAGTGTATCATTCAACTCGTCCCGTGCCAACGCCCGGGAACGAAAAATTACCCTGGCGACGTACCCAACCCCTGCGCAAACGCGGGGCGCAAATAGTTTAGGACACTTTATAAGGGGGGCGATGACGGAGCGAGGGTTACATATGTCTGCAGACGGAATTCGGGAGACTCGCAGGAAACTGGCTTCAGGACAAGGACTAGATAAAGCTGATTAGTTGCAATCCCTGAGCAACCCTAGCCACTTCGAAAGCGGGGATCTCAGATCGCAGCCCCCCAGGGATGGCGAGGTCTAATTTGGGTCCGCGCGTGGCGTCACTGTGCTGGGCCCCCCAGCAGGCCTCGAAAGTGGCGACAGTTTCACAGATCGCAGCCCCCCAGGGATGGCGAGGTCTAATTTGGGTCCGCGCGTGGCGTCACTGTGCTGGGCCCCCCAGCAGGCCTCGAAAGTGGCGACAGTTTCACAGATCGCAGCCCCCCAGGGATGGCGAGGTCTAATTTGGGTCCGCGCGTGGCGTCACTGTGCTGGGCCCCCAGCAGGCCTCGAAAGTGGCGACAGTTTCACAGATCGCAGCCCCCCAGGGATGGCGAGGTCTAATTTGGGTCCGCCCGTGGCGTCACTGTGCTGGGCCCCCCAGCAGGCCTCGAAAGTGGCGACAGTTTCACAGATCGCAGCCCCCCAGGGATGGCGAGGTCTAATTTGGGTCCGCCCGTGGCGTCACTGTGCTGGGCCCCCCAGCAGGCCTCGGAAGTGGCGACAGTTTCACAGATCGCAGCCCCCCAGGGATGGCGAGGTCTAATTGGGTCCGCCCGTGGCGTCACTGTGCTGGGCCCCCCAGCAGGCCTCGAAAGTGGCGACAGTTTCACACATCGCAGCCCCACGCAGGCAGGAAGGAGGAGGAGGGGAGGGAGGAGGAGAGGAGGAGGAGGAGGAGGAGGAGGAGGAGAGGAGGAGTGAGCGAGAGGTTTTTTTTTGAGGAGGAGGAGGAGGAGGAGGGGACGGAGGAGGAGGGAGGGAGGAGGAGGAGGAGGAGGAGGAGGAGGAGGGAGGATTGGGGAAAAGGAGGGGAGGGATCACGAGGAGGAGGAGGAGGAGGAGGAGGGAGGAAGAGGATGATGAGATGATGATGATGATGATGATGATGATGATGATTATGATGATGATGAGATGATGGATGATGAGATCATGAGATGATGATCATGATCATGAGATGATGACGATGATGATCATGATGATGATGATGATCATGATGATGATGTTGATGATGATGAGATGATGATGATGGATGAGGATGATGATGGATGATGGGATGGTGATGGTGATGGTGATGATGAGATGAGGAGGAGGAGGAGGAGAAAACCGAGGAGGAGGAGGAGGAACGGAACCGAAGGACCCGTGGGGGAGTACGATGATGATGATGATGATGATGATGATGATGATGATGATGATGATGATGATGATGATGATGATGATGATGATGATGATGATGATGATGATGATGATGATGATGATGATAAGGAGGAGGAGGAGGAGGAGGAGGAGGGAAAAATGGAGGAGGAGGAGGAGAAAACCGAGGAGGAGGATGAGAGGAGGACGGAACGGAAGGACCCGCGGGGGAGTACGATGATGATGATGATGATGATGATGATGATGATGATGATGATGATGATGATGATGATGATGATG